GCCATTGTAAAAGTCAAGGAAGGTGACCCTGAATCAAAGTTCGAGGGTTGCTAGGTTGTAGCTTTTCTTGTGTACTGAGTAAGCCATTCAGTAGGTTCTTTTGTTAAACTCGGCGGCAGCAAATACGATGGAAAATCAAAACCACTCGCCCACTTGCCACCAATCTGTATTTTCCCGCGCTTGCCGTAGATTTACGTATTTTTTCGCTCTTGGCGACCGTCGCATATTTTCAACGTGGTATATATCGTGAAAAACGAAAAGACCATCCGCCGGGTCCCTCGCTAGTTCCACATGCGGTCATGAAGCAACACAACTACATCGCAGTGACATGGTCGACGAAAAACAGCTGTAGTCCGTTTACTCAGCGTTTTGAACCTCAAAGCACCAATTCTGTTCTTTATAATAACTTGCACTCGAAACAAAGCTTGTGTCACCATCTACCCCGTAGTGTAGTGTTACAAACGAAGCAGTTCTGGGTATCACAAGTCAAATATAAATCTTGAACTCCGCAGAGGACCGTGATCCAGTAGAATGTCGAGAGACTCGTCGTGCACCCGAAGATACGGTCACCTGATCTCGTTGCCATAGCAGCTCGGCCAAAGAGTTGAGAAAGTGCGCGACTTCCTATGAAAGGAATCTCTTTTAATGAGCGAGTCAATTACATTGATTAACATGGTTTGCTCATGGTTTAGGCGGGTTGTTCAAAGCCCGATTAATCTAACCTAGGATTAACAAGAATTCTGATTTTAGTTTTATAACGTTTCGGGGAGGTTTTCCGTGTATATTGTTGGTCCTTCAGTTTTGAGTTTGAATAATCTCAAACTACACAAAAACATAAGCAGTGAAAAACATTTTTGTATCAGAAAATTAATACTTTGGTTACCTTTTAATCTCGGTAAGCGTTAACCGGTTTTCGAACCCGGCCTAGTCCGCGAGTCATTCGTTTTTAATTTGACCTTCAGACTAGTTTGACAACAGCACAGACAGTGGCTACTTGTAATATTCACACTTACAATTACCCCTGCTCGACCGTCCAAACTTCGACCATCAGCTAGTCGTTTTCCGGTGACATTGGCAATTCTTAGAACAGGAACTTGCCACTGTTCTTCAAATTCTCGTATTTCTTGCTCCGTGAAATCGCTGTTCAAGATTTGATCAAGTCTGTTTCAAGTTAAGGTCACAGTCAAGCAAAAGATAAAAAATAAAAAATCGGGACAAGCGGCCTTGACAATACGTTCACCTTGCCTAGTCCAGTCACACGTTACAAGTTCATGGCGGAGCGTTCACCAGGGCAGTGACGTGGGTGTCAAATTACAGGTGTCCAATTACGACTTGTTGTAATTGGATAGCTTTAATTCAATACCTCCGTCATTCCCACGACAAAAGACTTTTTTGATTTCGAAATTTGTGATTGATTTGATTAATTGCATATCTCTCAGTCACTGTACTACGCGCGCCGTGATTTGTCAATTTAGCGGGCTGTACTCTACTGTACGGCCCGCTAAAATCTGAATCTGTTTCATGATTCATCACCACGTATTTTAACTTTTACAGCAAGTAAACGTTTTAAACTCTCCATTACTTTAAATTGTGTATTTAAACGTGCTCACGACTTAACAACGATTTCAAATTGACTCGTTTTGCTTTCGAGGTGCGTCAGAAATTTGAAGCAGTTCCGCGTGAATAGAAATCGTTCCCGAACCCGTCAGACACACAGTAGAGATATAATAAATGTCTTACTAACCTCGTTTTCTCGGTCCGTACTGTTTCTTACGGATCCTCGTTTTTTTCCCCTTCGATTTATGGCCCACGCGTTTCGCGCTTGGGCCATAAATCGAAGGAGAAAAAACTCGATCCGTAACTCACAGTGTACAGTACCAACCTCGAACTCTGTTAGTAAAAGTACTTATTGACTGGACCTCGTGTCGTACAATTCAGGGAGAAATCGTGCTCATAATTTCAACTTCGCCTCGTGCTGCCCGCTCGTCCGATTAAGAAATTTCTCGCCCGATTACTCCCTGAATTGTACTCAACTAGCTTCAGTTACTATTGCTGATAGTCCACGTTTTATCAAACTAAGACTTGGGGGCAGTAAGAAACATCCACTTGGCATTTACTTATCATAAAAGGATACCTAGTGGCCACAGCTATTTGCAAGATTTTGTCCTCTTGATCCAAAACACGGTTCATCTGAAGAGAAAGATTTGATTCTAACGGCCCTACCTTCTTTGATTCTCAGTTAATATGTTTTTTTAACTTGCAACTGGATTTGTAATAATGACCTTGAGATCAAATTATGCATTATTGTACCATGTTATACCTCTGAGCTTATTGACTGAGTGGGAAGACTGGATTGGGAAAGGCAATGGCTTGAGTTCAATTCACAGAGATCAGACAAAAAGCAAGCCTGGGGGAGGGGGATTCCCCATGTTAAGAGGACGAGGAAGCTTGTCTTACCTTTGAAGGATTAAAAAAAGTGGATTTAGTAACTGTTAGGATGTTCATCCTCAAAACATCCCACAACAGGAGCTTTCATGATACATTTAAGGGTACTGAGCCAAAAATGTCAGTGTCAGTTAGCAGTGATGTGTTGCACTTTTTAGGGGTGAAAAAAAATTCAGGTCATGCTCACAAAACAGGATACCCCTTAGGGGTTCTTTTCAAAATTTCAGACAAGCACCTCTGCCCTTTTTATATGGGAGTCCACTCCTGGGGAAGCAAGGTCTGTGCAATACAAAGTGCTAAAAATCTTTACCCCACCCACATAAACTCATAGTAATGTTCTCTAGTGGATTGCACCTGCAAGCTTAACATAACAAATGCATTTAATTTTTAGCATTCAACTTCAGGACATCGCATTTCTTGAATGCTGTTTAGCATAAGCACAATTCCTGAAAACTAGAAATTTTCACTCTATTCCGTATATTGCATAGTAGTGAATAATATTAAATGTTATTTACTGTACCTGATTGGGTAAGTCATCAAAACTTCCTCTGTGGAGAACCAATTGAAATAAAATGAACTAACTTTGTAACAAGTAAAATGAGAATAAAAAGTATAATCCAAATTTTGTTTTAATAATTATATAATTGTAAAATCTAGTATGTAATCTCAATGTTAAAGTACTGTAGTTATAAAGTAATTTTTTTAAAAATTTACTCAGTTGGCAATTAAAATCAAAGGTAAGTTTACTTACTACTTACATGTGCCCTTCCAGGCCTTAAATGGGTTTCATATTGGTGTGTTTATTGACAATGGGTGCGTTAACAAATGCCTGTGACTCAGTTTACTAATTTTACAAACACACAAATACAGGGGGAGACACAGCTTATTATAGTTCAGTTGCTCAGTCTAGCTGGTTCTAAGCAATACACAATGTAGGTTGAAATCTCATTACTGTACCTGTCAGTGAAAGAGAACAAAAAAAGTGCTGCATCAGCTTTTTCTTTCAGAGCCTATGGTCAGGAGCAATAAATAAGAACTATTTCATACAAGTAACTCTAATACCCAAGTTTTGATCACTTTGTTTCACATTGGACTAGTACAGTAGTTATAATTATCTGACAATATGTATCATCACCAATGCTAATGTGCAGAGGGGAAAAAACATATGTAAATCTAACAAAGATATGTACTGCAACAATGCAAAGTAAGTTATTAAATGGAATTAGGAAATACTAAAAAAAGTTTCATATTAGTGCCAATTAATATTATAGCTAAAGCAGCTCAGTCATGGTATTTTGGGTTATTTTGTTGAGGCACAAAATTACAGTCTTTAAATTGAAAAAAAACCCTAGAGATAGTAGTTTACTAAGATAGAAAAACACTAAAGAGATAATAATAAACCATAAAGGAACAAGGATGGTTAAGGATGGCGAAGATTAACACAGATCACAAACGACAAACTTCAAAAACCTGGGCTAAACTTTTCAAGATGTGTAAATGGCGACATAGCTTTTTTAATTCACTAATCAATAATAATAAATTATTTGTTTACGTAACATGCCCTTGTCAACTGTCTCACAATAGCGGATCTCTCT